ACATTTGAAATCTCAGTGCTATTTCTTATCAAAAAGTATTCATTGGGTACAAACTATAATTCCTTACTGGTTAGGGTAGCACCATTTCTCCCAGACAGCAAGATCACACCCATACATATATGGTGATTGTATTACCTTCTTTTGGAGTAAGCAAAGTTATGCAAAGCGCAGAAGAAGTGTGAGAAGCAATAGACAAAAGCAATTAAACCCAAGAAATAAGGAAGAAGAAAATCTAGTTTACATCAACATAATTCATTTTAACTCCCACACCTTTCAATTCTTGCAAACTGTCCCTTCTTCCACTCCATCCATACACTCCTTCATTCTGTTATTTTGTTCTTGAACTTTTCACCATTCATTTTTAAGTATCCCTTCAGATTTGCATCCGTCTCAATCCATTCATTCTGTTTTTGATCAAGCACTTCCATGTTTCTTTCACACTCATTTCTATTCAATTCACATTCATTCTTGATCCAACCCCGTTTTACAGTTTCACTTTGTAGTCTCTCGTTCCCACCTCATTTGTAGAAATTTATTTTTCTACCCGAGCATTTTCAATTACTTTGATGAACACACATTATTTATATCAGACAATAGGCTACATTGTTACAAGCATTTGCACTTCTTAAAATGTCTCAATCCAGTTTACATATTGAGTAAGCAATCTACCAATGTGCAGAAATTCATTTATTTGCACTATCTTCTTGCTATCTGCAATCTCCAATAATTCATTTTGATTTTCCAGTCAAACACAACAATCTTATCCTCTGGAATGAAGCCTCCTCCTGTCCATATATGGCGAGTCCTCACTGTGAAGAATTTTCCTCCAAGAATCTGGGTCCAATTTGAGTGAAGTTCCCTTTTTTTAATTATCCCATTTGGTCTGGCATTTTATGTATTGGATTGTTTTCTATAATGATGTATGGTTCCAATTCCAAAACTATAAAAGCAATTAAAACAATAGAAGCAGTTAAAATAATAAAATATATACATAATAACTGAAGGGGTATGGTGGCCTAGCAGTTAAGATGCTGGGCCTGTCAACCAGATGGTAGGCAGTTCGAGACCTAAAGTACATGAAGGGGTGAGCTCCGCTCTTGTCCCAGCTCCTAACAACCTAGCAGTTTGAAAGCATGCAAATGTAAGTAGATAAATAGGTACCACTTCAATGGAAAGATAAAACATTCCATGCAACTTGGCATATAGTCATGCTGGCCATGTGACCATAGAAATATCTTTGGACAACACTGGCTCTCCCAGCTAAGAAATGGAGATGAGTACCGCCCTCCAGAGTTAGACAGGGAATCCTTTATCTTTACTTCTTATATGTAATAACTAGCACTTTGGCTCAGAAAACCCCCAAATCACAAAGGGCAGCAACTTTAAAATAGATGTTGCTCTACTAAAGTAGATTGCCCTAGTAGCCATGTATTTGCAGTCCATACTAGTTATAGCTTCTGAACGGTTTTCATGGGCAACTTTACATACAGTATTACAAAAGTCCAGGTGGAATGAATCACCAATCAATACATTTCTAATCCAAAAGCATTTCCTATACATTTATCTTTTTATCTATCTTTCTATCTATCTATCTATCTATTATCTATCTATCTATCTATCTATCTATCTATCTATCTATCCATACATACTTCATTCATTCATTCATTCATTTATTCATTCATTCATTCTGTTAGTATTCCAGCAATCACCCTAATTAAATCATGATTCTCGAGCCAAACTTCAAAAAACTTCAAAGAATTTATTAGAGGAGACATACTGGCATTGCCCTGTATGAAGCCAACTCTGGCATATGTAATTTACAGTCACCTGTGACCCTGTTTCCCTTCTCCCCCCCCCATTCATTTATCAAACTTCTTAACTGTCCATCTCCACCATGGATTTAACAATGAAAGGATCACTACACATTGTTATCTTATTCCTTGTTTGGTGCTGAACATTCCACTAAGAAACAGATGCCTACTACTTCAAATGAAAGGAACAATCTTTGGCTCCTGACTTTTTTTCCCTCTTCTCTGATTCCTTTAACATTTTTTCTTGATCACAAGAACAAATGTGTCCAGTGCAAGGAACAGGGAGAAGACTTTACAGAACCTATAATTAATACAATATATTTTACAATAGAAGTAACCAAAAGAACCAACTGGTTTCAAGTAAGTAAAACAGCCAGGCCCCATCAATTTTGAAAACATTAACAATATCTGAGGTAAGATATAATCAAAATTGAACAGCAAAGGAATCTTATTGTTATATAACACTTGTACTAACACAAAATGTTGTGAAAATATCTGGGAAGATGATTTGGGATTTCAATTGGATGAATTCCAATGGATTTGTGGTACTGAACACCTATCAAACCTCAAGAAGTTATCTGTAGTCAGGATCAGTCATGAAGGTAATGGATAGGTAGCTTTATGCTTTTCTAAAATTGTACCATATAGATCTATTCATGTTAGACTCATGGGGCTGCAAATAAAGCACAGCTAGTCCTCGGCTTACGACCACAACTGAGCTCAAAATGTATGTTGCTAAGACATATGTTAAGTAAGTTTTAAATTTTATGACATTTCATCAAGTGAATCTGGCTTTCCTATTGACTTTGCTTATCAGGTCATAAAAGATGACCCCGAGATACTGTAGCCATCATAAATATGAGTCCGTTGCCAAGCATCTGAATTTGATCACATGACATGGGGAGGCTACAATGGTCATAAGTCATGTTTTTCAGTGCCATTGTAACTTTCTGATCCCTTGGATCAGAACAGTGGCATGTTTCCTTGTCATTTGGAAAATGCAAATCTCGTATTAAAATAGTCTCACTGGAGCTTAAAAAACAAAGGTCCTGTTTAAAAGCTCTTTCCAAAACCAGGAAACCCCCTAAGAACCTTGTGATTCTCAGCTTTCCTCCCAATATTAAGTATGTCTTCTAGTCATCAAATACCTACTTGGTTTATCATATGAGGAAGATCTGATTCTATTCAAAGATGAATATCTAGTTTCAGTGACTAAGCGTTGGGGGCTCCTTCAGTACCTAGAAAGGGGAGGGGAATCAACAGAAGCTGGGGAAGTTATACTTTGTAAGTCCCATGAGCAAGATTATAACAAGGCAAAGAACCTCATTTTATAATAGGTTAGCTAATGAGATTATTGAAATAAGATAATCTTTTACCACTGAGCAAATGAAAGAATTACTGGCAGTTCCAAAACAAATGAATTCTTTTTTGTTCCTTTCATTGTATTTAATCACTGGATTTTCTCAGATTAGGGGAGATTCAGTGAAATCTGATAGTATTTGTGGCATCTGATCTAGTCTTTATCAAGATATTGTTCTATTTCCAAAACATATGTAATTAAAGAATTCATTTATCTATAGAGGCCAGAGGTCAAACTAAAGAAAAACAACACCTTTTTTGAAGACTTTTACTTTAAGTGCTGGCTAGTTTCACAAATATGTAAATTAATCTAGTGTCGGAATTATTCAACACATTCCATCTCAGGAGATTTGTAGTTTTGGAAATTTCTAGAAATTACATAACTTTGCTGAGTATGGGATGTAATCCAAAGGACTATGTGAGTGTGTGTGTGTGTGTGTGTGCGTGTGTGAATTCCACTGCTGAAAATGTGAACTTGATTTCTCCAGAAAGCATGTGAGATTCCTTAAAAAGGGAACTATTCCAAGTTGCTATATGGCCCCATTTAATTAATTAGATTTTTATCCCATCTTTATTACTTTGTAAGTAATTCAAGGCAACAGACATATATAACTACTTCTTCTCTTATTTTTCCCACAAGGTAGGTTGGGCTGGGAGAAAAGTGACTGGCCCTAGATCACACAGTTGGCTTCATGCTTAAGATGAGACTAACAGGGTCTCCTAGTTCCTTAACCACTAGACCAGGGGTGGGCAAACTTTTTGGCTCGGGGGCCTCATTGACTTTTAAAATTTGACAGACGGGCCGCCACCTGGTGTCAAAATGCCTGTCATTACAAGTCAAAATCAAATGAATGCAATCATTCAATCATTCACATCAAACCTTAATTCTGTACCAATCTTCGGCGGGCCGGATTAAAAAGACCAACGGGCCGGATGTGGCCCGCGGGCCGTAGTTTGCCCACCCCTGCACTAGACCAAACTGGCTTCCATTCTCATTTTGCTACTTCGCTGCATGGCAGAAAGTACCAGAGGCACCTTCCTCATTTACTCATGTCTGCTTGTTTCAGTTCTGCTAAAATAAAATAGGAACCTTTCTGTATTTCTGCTTGCCCTGACTAGAAGAGTGATATAAACTAGTCTGTAATCCAGAAGAGCATCAAACCTGTTTTAGAAGTAGATCGTTGAATAGGAGTGTCATGAGAAATATTTTTCCCTGTCCCTGGACAATGCAGCCCCTCCATCTCACCCTCTCTGTTCAACTGATCCCTCCCTCAGGCTGATCTCTCTTTTAAAGCCAGATCTCTGGCTGATCGCTTTTCCCAAACTAAAACCCTGGCTCTTTTGGGGGGATCTGCTGTATAGTACTAGAGCCCACTTGGAAAGAACCAGATTCTCCTGCTACCCAGTCAAGAATGAAGCTCCGGAGAACTGCCTCCAGGGACCAGAGCAGGCAGACCACGCATGTTCCTGAGTATGTGTGTGGCAGAAAAATAAGGCTGACCTGACCTGAAGTGGAGTTACACGGAAACAGAAAGAGGCACGTTGCCAGCACAAGGCAGGCTGTCCCGCAGCCACATCCTCATCAAAGGGAAACAATTCCTTTTCCAAGCTGCAGCCGTTTTGCAAAACGGCTTACCATTCATCACCCAAACCGCTTAATTTGCCTTCAGCCAAATGCGCGGTTGTAAAGATGCAACCACAACAGCAGCAAGAAGCGCTGGTGAGAAGTCAAGTCCCGAGGCCACCAAAGCCCAGGCAGGCGAAAGTGCTCGCCTAGCTCCGCGTCCCCCCTTCGGTCCGGCCCTGGGCTCTCTCTCTCTCTCTCTCTCTCTCTCCCTTCCTGAGCGCCAGAAAGGGGCGGTTCCGCGCGTGGGCAGGAGAAGGAGGGGGCCGAAGCAGCGTGGCCGGAGCTCTCGAAACTACCCGGGCAGTTCCTGCTCCTTGCGCGGGAGCCACCATGACCAGCAACGGAGCAGGCAATGAGGGCGCCGTTCCGGCGCGCAACGGAGCCCCCGGCGCCCTTCCGCCGGCGGTGAAGCCCTTGTTGCTCGGCAAGAGTTACGACGTCTCCGGCAAGGTGTGGGCCTGCCCCGATTGGGCAGCAGGGGGCACAAGAGAGGGCAGGGAGCGTGGGGGGGGGGGGGGGGGGAAACCTTCGCGGCTGTCGTCGCGGGCTAAGGCAAGGCGAGCAAATAAGGCCGATGGGTCTAAACCCGCTCCCCTTTCCCCAAATTGTCTTGGAGAAGAAGGGGGGGAAAGTGATACCCCTCCCCTTTCCCCAAATTGTCTTGGAGAAGAAGGGGGGGGGAAGTGATACCCCTCCCCTTTCCCCAAATTGTCTTGGGCGGGGGGGGGGGGGGGGGGGGAGTGATACCCCTCCCCCTTTCGTGCTCTCCTTGCTGGCTCCCTCACCCAACGTCTCCAAAAAGGGTTTAACTTCGCCCACGAACTTGGTTATCGATAAAGACGACCAAGAAACAAAAAAAAGGGGCAAATTAGCCGGGCTAATTTTGGCGGGGGAGGGAGGGAAACGAGGGTGGGGCTCAGGTCTGCTTGGAAAGTCTCTTTCGGATGGTTATGTATGTGTGTGAGGGGAAAAAAGACCAAGGCCGTTTTTGTTCTTCGTGTTTGAGGACTGAATTATGGTTTTAGTATTGCCATTCTTACCAACAGGCAATTGTGTTCCTACACCCTTAACAGATGCCTAGTGAGCAGAAATTCAACAGGTCGTTTCTTTAGATGGGGAAGAGCACCGCCAGGGACAATGCAGCTTGCTGAATATGTTTTTTCCTGTCATTCACGGGCTTATAAATCTACCCCTCAAAGGGTGGAAGCCTCTATGGCCCTGAAAATGGCCTCTTTTCTGAGTCCCGGTTAATTCCTGGTTGCAACTGTACCAGTCTCATTTTCAGGTTGAGCTCTGCCTCCGTAGACAGTGCAGGTAGTCCTCCACTCACGGCCACAGTCGGGTCCGACATTTCTGTTGCTAAGCAAGACAGCTGTTCAGCGGGTTTTGCCCCACTTTGCCACCTTTCAGCCGTTAAGTGAGTTGCCGCAGCGGTTCATTTAGTGACACGGTTGTTAAGTGAATCTGGCTTCCCCGTTGACTTTGCTTGCCTCGATCACACGATCCCTGGTTATAGCAGCCATCATAAATATGAGTCCGTTGCCCAAATTTGATCACGTGACCACGGGGTTCCTTCAAGGGTCGTGAGGGTGAAAAGGTTCTAAGTCCATTTTGTTCGGTGCCATGTGGCAACTTTGAACGGTCACTAAATGAAGTGCTGTAAGTCAAGGCCTGTCTCTAAAGGGGAGGTGCGGGATGATCGCAGAGGTTGGTTCCTCTTTAGCAAAACCCCTTGATAAAATCCATGGCCAATAAAACAAGCGTTGCACTGTTCTTCTCCTCCTTCTTTGCAGCAGCAGCTGTAGCTGTTGCTATTCAAACCACATTGGGAGGAAGCAGCTAAAGCGGGGAAGAAGGCGCATCTCAGAAGGCAAGCCAGGATGGGGGAAGGGTTTTGGCAAGGCAGCGAAGTGCACTTCCTCACACTCAGAGCTTGCACACAGATCTCCTCAGCTGGGATAGGAGTTTCCAGCAATCGTGCTGCAGAAAGCAGGAAGAGCACTACTGGGGACCGGCAGATACAGCGTTCTTCTGTTGACATTGCCAGTTCTTTATTTCATTTGCATCCTGTGTTCCTTTGGGCCATCATAAGCCTCCTCCGTGTTGGTCCGTGCAAAACTGCCTGCTTGGTGTGGCATAAAGAACCAGCTTGCCACAAGAAGGCAGCTGAAGAAGTGTTACTACAGCTAGCAAAGCAGTGCTGTGAATGTATCTTAAGTATCCTTGGGTTTCCCATACATGAGGAATTATAGTGCAGCATGGGATTCCAGTGGTGATATCCGTGTTTCCATTGGAGTTGGACAGTAAATCGGTATTCTAATCAATAGAAATACAGGTAGTCCTCGACTTACAACAGTTCATTTAGTGACCAAAGTTACAATGGCACTGAAAAAAGTGACTTATGACCAATTTTTCATACTTTATGACCGTTGCAGCAGCATCTCCATGGTTATGTGATTTACATTTGGGTGCTTGGCAAATGGCTCATATTTATGACTGTTGCAGTGTTCCGGGGTCTTGTGACCCTCTGACAAGCAAAGCCAATGGGGAAGCCAAGTTCACTTAACAACCAGGTTACTAACTTAAGAACTGCAGTGATTCACTTAACGAATGTGGCAAGAAAAGTCGTAAAATGGGGCAAAACCCATTTAACAAATTTCTGACTTGGCAACATAAAGGCTGGGCTCAGTTGTCGTAAGTCAAGGACTACCTGTATGCATGACAAGCCAAAATACAATAGAAATCAAGTGAAACTTTCTCTTGAAGGAAGGATCGCTGCATAATCGCATTGGAAACTTAAAACATTGTTGGCTGTCCCATGACATAAAACCACTGCCCCAAATGGCACAAGGGACACGCTCAAGAACAACTCAAATTATCTGCACACAATAACTGTAGTACCTTTCCTTGCCATTACTGATTTTGTTCCCCGTAGAACGAAGGTCCTGTGCTGGACTTCATTTGGAGGGGGAAAAAATGCCTGGCTAAGCATATATTTTATGCTTTGGGGTAGCAAAGGCTTGAACCCACTGCCTCCCACTTCCTAGTGATAGTAGAGTCTTGAGGGCATGAAGGATATTTAATTGCAATGAAGACAGAACATTCATCTTCTTCCTCTGCTAATGACTTGGCTCTCATGACACCCTAAGCCAGGGCTGTCAAACTCACCGGCCTGCAGGCTGGATGCATCATGCGCTGGCCACACCCACACCCAGTTTAGCGAAGTGGGGAAAGTACCGGTATGTCACATGATACCACAATGACAACGTGAGTTTGACACCCCTGGCCTAAGCCATGGTTGATTTAATAAATAGCTTAGTGTATAAGCCACAATTGGCTGGAGATGTATTACGTGCTAAGCCATAACTATTTTACAAATTATAGGAGAGTTCATATTGCATATAGTCCTCAACTTACAACCACAGTTGAGCCCAAAGTTTCTGTTGCTAAGCAAAACAGTTGTGAAGTAAGTTTTGCCTCCTTGTATGACCTTTCTTGCCACAGTTAAGTGAATCACTGCCATTGTTAAGTTAGTAACACTGTTGTTAAGTGAAACTGGCTTCTCCATCGATGTTGCTTGTCAGAAGGTCTCACGGCCACCGTCATAATACATGGCATTTGCCAAGCATCCAAATTTTGATCACATGACCATGGAGAACTGTGGAAAAACCTATGTCATAAGTCATTTTTTTAACTTTGAACGGTCACTGAATGAATGGTTGTAAGTCGAGGAGTATCTGTACTAAGGCAAGGTTATAGATTGGCCCTATATTTTCACTGATAGGAATCAGGGTGCTGGGCCTGGAAGTGAAAGAAAACATTTTGTCTACCAGATCTCTTGCAACCTTACATCCAAAAACCCCTGTTTAATGCCGCTTACTCCGTCAGTCTACTTCCAGATTCCTTCTGGGAGGAGATCCTTGAAAAGGATAATAACAGGTCTCCACCCAGAGATCCCTGCTGTCTCCCAGTTACTGTAATGTAGCTGTCAATTGTTAGTGGTGTTCCTTTGTTCTCCAGTCCACTGGGGTCTGGAACTGCTGCGGCTTCTCCCTTTTCCTGACACACCCTGAGAAGGAGTAACACAACAATCAAAGAGACTTTGCAAATTGGTTCTGGGTCCTGAGCCATTCGGTCACAGCCAACATTCCTGGCCTGTTCTATCTTCCTTCCCCTGCATGGCACTTTTTGGGTCAAGTGGACTACAACTCACATGGATTACAACTTCAGATACATTGAAAGAGCCGCCTCAGGCAGGAAAATCTACATGTTCTGGGACTTCTGCCTTCTATTAAACCAACATTCCCTCCATACAAAAATGCAGAGAGAGGACATTTTGTCTTCCTCTTTCTTAAAGCGAAAGCAGTTGGAGCAGCTTTCCCAAACTTGGTTCTTTTCAGTTGGGGTGTGTTGCAGCTTCCCACTTTTTTCAATTTGTGTGCCCAAAGGCTGGCTGAGGGTTTGGCAAGTTGCAGTTCCTGGAAGATGTCACGTTGGGGAAAGTGACATTGGCATATCAAGTGTTTTTTTTTATCCCCTTTGGAAATAGGAGATAGGTTTCAGAAATAGGTTTCAGCTCTCTGGGAAATACTGCTGTCTCCGGTTGAAGAACAGCAGTTCAGGAGAGCTGGGAAGCAGATTTCCTAAGGTGAGGGGCACACCATTACTTCACAGATGTTCCTTGTCCTGAATCTAAGTTTACTTTGTTTCAGGATCCAATCTGGGTTGGTCACTGGGAACAGAGGTTTAGTCTTCTGAAGTTTCGGAGTCCTGCTGAAGCCCATCCTCTTCTCTCACACCAGATGTGTGAGAGAAGTTCCTTGAGGATGGATTCCAGCATGAGTTTGAAAGCTCAGAAGCCTCTGGTCCCAGTGTCCGACCCAGATTTGGTCCTGCAACACACACGTTTGCCTTCTTTCCTTAGTTTGTTTCCTTTTCTTTTAGGAACTACTTTTCAAGTCTGGACTGCTAAGAGTCCAGTGTTTGTTGTTCTGTCAGGGGTGTTGATGGATTTTCCCCTAATGATTGCTGTTATCTCTGAGCTGGGTGGGCTCATTTTTTGTAGGAGGACAAATGCCGGCTAATCTACATTTCTCACAGGGATAAATTCCAGAAAGGCAAGAAAGTGTGTGCGCGCGCGCTCACGTGCTCTCCCTTTTGTGGACCAGAACACCTTAAATTACAATGGCCACAAAATCTTACACCACAATCAACCCTTAAGATGCTATATGGCAATTTCTTTCTAACTAATCAGAATAGCCTCAGTTATTGCTTTTCATTGCCTGAGGTAAATAGGGAATCCAACCAAGCTGTGGCTTTTAAACTGAAAGTCTGTTTGCTTAGAAGGAGTGGATACTGGCTTACCTATTTGCTCTGCTGTCTTGCGACAGAGGTGAGGCAGTCGCAAGAAAGGAAGAGAGCCCCAGAGCTTACGGATCTTCTCCTGATACTTGGCATGGGTTATAATGGTACCTGTCAGGTCTTGAGGGATGGGGTACCTTGGACCTTTTATGACTTGTGGACTTCCAACTCTCAGAATTCCTGACCCAACAAGGCTGGTTCAGAAATTCTGGGAGTTGAAGTCCACAAGTCATAAAAGGGCCAAGATTCCCCACTCCTGATCTAACTCCTGGACTCTGTGTGTGTTTATGGTCACAGTGACATCGAAGGAAATAGACAAAAGCCCATGAAGGAAAGAACTGGTTGTTAGAAATATCCTTCAGATTTAATCAAGTGTATTAGCAACAAACAGTTCCTTCTTTCTCCACCCTTTGTCTATATAACATCATAGATCAATGACAAATCTGGTTCCAGGGAGTGTGAAGAAAGAGGCTGGGTTTGAACTGTGCCTTTTGAGGATTAGTTGGAGGATTAGTAGAATATTTGGATTAGGCTGAGGTAACATTAGCTAATGGACTACTCCCTTGCGTAGGGCAAAGATGAGGATTGTAGCTCCCTCTAAGCTGGGTTTCTGACCCCTCACAAGGGCTTCCCAGAGCATTGGGTGACCTCTCCACGGTACATGTTTCAGTGCATAAAACTACTGATCCTGTGCATGTTTCTGTGAAAGTAGTTTTAGTGAAGAAACTTATTCCCAGATAAGAGCACAGATAGGATGATATTCTAACTGTCTTGAGTGAACATAGTCATGCTGGCAGTGACAACGGAAGAGGACCAGAGGCAGCAGAGGGCAGCACTCCCATAAATGGAGCCAAGAAGCTCTTGTAGGCTCTACAGAAGGTCCCTTAAACTGGAATAAATCCTAAGTAAGGAACTGTAATCATTATAATTCCTAAATTGAGGAGCAATAACCCAGTAGCAATGAGAAGATTTAGGCCCTGTCATACTAGGTCAGTGGCTTCTCAACTGGCTGGGGAATTATGGGAATTGAAGTCTGCACATCTAAAAGTTGCCAAGATTGAAAAACACTGTACTTCACTACCCCATAGACAGCTGCCCTGACATTTCAGGAAGATACTTAAGTCCTTGAACAAGGCATATGGCTCCTGGGCTTCCAGAGATGTAATTTGTCCAGAGTAGCCTAGCTAGAAGGCTAAGCAAAGGCAGAAGTTGGAGCATATGGCATGAAGTGTAAATATAAATGGATTGTTTGTTTGCATTGGAAACAGCAGCTGGTACACAGAGTAGCTACAAGCTGATCTCCTTATCTTTTGTGCGGAAGAGAGGAAACACTGACAAGGAAGAGGTCCTTGTAGTAATGATGAAAATAAGGACAAGAAGTTATGGAGAGTTAACCTTTCATCATTCCAGAGAAAGGAGTGTGGAGCCAGCTCAGAAATGAACTCCAAACTCTTTCTGAGAATCAGGATGGTGGATGGATATCCCTCAAAAATGTTCACCTATCGTGGGACAACATCTCTTGAGGGAGCACAATAGGAAGGAAGACTTGCCAATCGTTTCCCACCAAGCAAACAACTACGGTATATTCTGGAGTTCCCTTTCCACCATTGCTTTATGCATACACTAGAGAGAGATGAAAGCATAGGAATTTATTTTGCCAGGACCACAGAGGTGGGAATAGAAAGGGAGATCATGGATGGTTATCCTTGAGCTAAACCTTCCTGAAAGGTTAGCAAAATACCCTCCATTTGGAAACATTTTAAAACACCCCTTTTCAATTTGGTGATGTCCAGATTTGTTTAATTTAAATTACCACAATTCCCAACGGAGTGGTGCCTTCGGCATCTCAGGAGAACATTGGGGGGGGTGGGGAGTTTGTCTTACACTGTCCTTGTAAGTTTGCTGTAACTAAAGAGGGTGATAAACAGAAAGGGGTGCCCACTTTAAAGATGATTTCCCAAGTATTGCTGTGGACTTCATGCATGCACAAGACTATTCTGCTATTTATCACAACAGTCCAACTTTTTTACTCTTCTGCAAATCTGAACAAAACAATCTCAATGCAGTGGGTTGCATTAAGAAGTTGGCTTCTTAAAGATGTGGCATCTTTTCTTTCAGGCTCACATAGAACCCTGAAAAAAGTTGGGGTACTTTGATTAGTCGCAGAGAGGAGCTGTGCTTAAAGGAGATCTAAAGCATTTTTCAAAAAAATAATTATACGCCTTGTTAAGTCTGTGGCAGCGTTTCTCTATTTTGGCAAATTGGGGACTTCAATTCCCAGATTTCCCAGCCAATGTAACAAGTCTACACATCTTAAAGTTGCCACAGTTGAGAAACACTGTTCTATAGTGGCAAAAAATCAGGGATTTTTATGAAAATGTAAGGTTTTTAATAATATTTATTAATCGGAAAAAGTGCTGTCAGATTCCTGATTTTCTGTTAAGTTATCCACCTTGAGTTACCACCAGCATTGATAGAATAAGGCGGTTATAGTGGAGCAGACAATGAATGACTCCCGGTCACAATGGCTAAAGTAAGATGAAGATGAGATATTGCTATTTGTTCTTCTCTGGTAGTTCTGCTTGCTAAATTAGATCACTGTTGACAGGAGAGAGAGAGAGAGAGACTTCTTTAATAAGAAAACATGAGGCAATCCCCCCCCTCCCATGAATGTCAGTATAACCCCAACCAGCCATATTAATGGGCTTTTGCACCTCATCTTGTAGGTGATGCTGCTTGGAGATTCAGGTGTGGGAAAGACCTGCTTCCTTGTCCAGTTCAAAGATGGAGCCTTCCTCTCTGGGACCTTCATAGCTACTGTCGGGATAGACTTCCGGGTGAGGCCACTGTTAATGCTGGAGATAGTTTGCCACAGCAGAGAAGTGTGTTGGAAATCTTGCAGTAGACCTTTGAGCTAAGCACAATGCAAGCAGAAGAACATCACATGGATGCAATCATTTGTCATGCCTGGTTTTGATCTTTCAGTAGCTGGATCAGGAGTCCAGTATGTGGAGACCCAGGGGCCTCATCCTATTCCTATCTGCTGTGGCTGTAGTAAAACAAAAAACAAAAAACCCAAATGGTCTTTCGTGCAATCTATCAATAGCTTCTCAGAGTTGTGGGTGTTCCATCGCTGGAGGTTTCAAGAAATGATTGGACAACCATTTGTCTGGGATGGTGTAAGGCAGGGGTCCCCAACTCCCAGGCTGCAGCCCAGTACCAGGCTGTGGCCCATTTGGAACCTGCCCGTGGAAGCCACAGGCGAGCATGCGCATCCATGCATAGCCCCATTTGTGCGAGCAGAGAGTGAACGCATGTATGAAGCTCCATTTGAGCAGCTGGCAAGTGCGTGTGCCTGCCACTCGTGCAAATGGAGCTGCATGCACATGCTCGCCTTTTGCTCACACCGAAAAATCCCCTCTCCCCACCCATCCCTGATGGTCCGCAAAGCTGGAAAGGTTGGGGACCACTGGTATAAGAGCTCCTGGCTTGGGCATTGTTTGGAATAGAACACCTCTCTGCCGTGTGATTCCATTATTCTGTCCTCTCTTCCTCTTCCATTTACACACACGCACACACACACACACACACACATATTTTCAGAGCTGCTGGTAGTCCTAGAGGGAAAGTTTCTATCATCCTTGGTAAGGCCACACTTGGAATACTGCATTCAGCTTCTTCCTTTTGGCAACTAAACCAATGATAAGTCAACACTGGAATGTTTTGATCAAAGCTCTTGGTTCAAAATAGAAACTAACAGAATGGTAACAGAATAGTAACAGTCTGGTTAATTGTTGTGTTTTAAAAGATCTCTAAAATATAAAATAACTAAAATAACTTGGATATCTTTTTCCAAGGATTAGTATGCATCTCTTTGTTATGTAAGTGATAAATATAGTCAATTAACATTATCTCAATTTGTAGGAAACATGATAAACTCACAATGGAATGTCAGATACTGTACATTGATAAATAACATTTTTGTTTGATGAATTATAGAGAAAAAATGTGGGTACTGAATTATATGTTACAACTAGGTAATTTGTGGTATGTACTGTCTTTCTCATGCTTAGTTTTCTGAGACTAATCAAAACCACCTATTTGTTCATAATATTAACTATGTGGACAATCTAGATTAAGCTGACTTCCTCCAAATGGATAAGTTCTAGAATTCCCAGTTTATATGGCCAATGATAGCTCCAATTCATCTAGAGTAGACTATTGGGAAAGAGTAACTGGTCCTAGGAAATTGTTCATAATAGTTTAAGAAGAATGTTGTAATAATGTGTAATATTACTGGGCATTTTAAAGCAAAGCAACAAGTAATTTGTGGAGGTGCCTCTAAGCTGTTCTTCTTTGTGCTCCAAAATAATGTTTTGGCTCTGATTGCGCTGAATCACATCAAACTTTTCCATATCATATCAAATTCATACAGAACACATTATTTTCCTTTCCTCCCTAAATAATATTAGGTAGCTATATTCTATGTTCATTATAGTGAGATGTGCGACAGCCCTTTGAGGTTGTCCAGACAGAAGCACAAACCATGAGTAGTAATGCTAACTTTATTGTTAAGTTATAACAACAGAATCTTGCAAGTTTGAAAGAATTTCTGCTCTCCTGTACTTTTATTTTCCCCCAAACTAGGAAGGGCTCCTTCTGACATAGTTCCCATGCCCCCTTTCCTTTTGTGGGTTGAGATATCTTTTGCATGACTATTGTCTAAGGCCAGGGGTGTCAAACTGGCAGCTCACGTGCCAGATACACCAAGTGCGGGCCACGCCCACCCCAGCTCCGTGAAGGAGAAAAACGTTGCGAAAGGTCACGTGACGCCAACGTGACATGGCAAGTATGACACCCGTGGTCTAAGCTGTGGCTCTTCCTCCTGTTTCCCATATAGCATCCCCATACCTTCATGTTCAAAAACTAAAGTCTTCCTCAAGTTGAGCTGGACTTCTGGTGACTTCAGGCATGTCACCCGAAGTACAGAAGTGGTTTTCCTCTGCTTTCTTCCAGAGTGTTTTTCCCACTTCCCAGTTTAGCCTATAGGATCTTCCTAATGGTCACCCATTCTAAATATTAACCAGGCTTGGCTTAGCGTCTTGATATCAGCCATGGCTGGTGCTGCTATCCTGCTGGGCCCTATGATGTTAGGATTCCCCCTAACTCATCAACATATTGCAGTAGCCTGCCATTCTCACACACAAAAACCACACTAGTATAACCATGAGTGTCTTGTCTATTTGAGGACAAAGCTGCTTGCTCCATCCTTGCCTTGTAATCCTAAGTGCCAGGAGAGGAAGCCATTGTAGGGAGGATTGATGGGTGGGAGATGAAGGCTTACTATATTTCTTTTTTAGTTTTTTTTAATACCGTTCCATTTTTTTTCCTCCGTAGTTGCTCCAGAGTATAAAGAATGTGGTATACAGAACCTTTTGTGTTCCTAGGCATTTTGAAGCACTTCTCCTTGAATTTTGTTAAAGCACAGTGGCTCCAAGGTCATGTGGAGAGAGACCTAGGGGAAGTTTTTGAAGCAGCCACATGAGACTTGCAAACTAGGCGTCTGCTTCAACTGCTCTGAAAACTTTGCAAAGCAATATAGGGTGAAAGAAGAGGGAATAACAGTGGGTGGATGAATGATGAATGGATGTGATGATGAGCATTTGTGTCCCAGTCCTTTTGGAGCTTGAGACAGATGATGTGGCAATAATCATTTTATTTCCCAAATAATAATCTTATGAGCTGCATTAGGCTGAGAGAAAGTGATGTGGTCCAAAGTTCTTCAGTGGGTTCCATTATTCAGCATTTCTCATGGTCTTCCTGGACCACATTTGTTATTTACTGTGTGTTCCACTTGTTCTAAATAACTTGTGGAGCCTTGGCCTCTATATTGTAATCACTATCTGACTAGTATGTCCTGGGGAAACACAATCCCTTGAATACAGTAGTGAGAATCTACAAAGGAAGATGCATCTCCCTTGTCGCTGTTTATATAGCTTAATGTTTTGATTGTGGATTTCATAGCAAAATACATTGTTGCCTACTCTATCCAACTGACTATTTGTCTCTCTGTTTTTAAAATGATAACTACGTTGGTTTAGTGCAGCAAAAAAAACACTTTTGGTCCTTTAAGATGTCATTGTACAAGCGTTTACACATCATATTCCACTGATCCATGAATATTTGTACATCTAAGTTGCCACAAATGTAGTACCCAAAGTTGTGCTAATTTCTTTGTGTGGTGAATGATGAAAAAAATGAACAATGAATCTGTGCAGCACTTGATAATCTATAAAATATTATTTGCTAGTAATGCAGTCATCATTACTGTGACAAAATATAATATGTGGAAGAAATTTAAGGCATTTTAGTTGTACTAACAATTGCTGACAATAAGCTGAACAAGCATTGGCTTAGCTGATAGGGTTGCTTTGCATGCAATCCCAGTAAATATGATACTTCTGATCCCCAAATTGCAGGCAAAGATTGACAACTAAATGTATCAGATATGTTGCTTACAGTCTTACCTAAAATCTCAGTGTACCAATTATGTCAGCAATATGCATGCAGCTATGCATGAATATGCATGAATCTCTATGGAGATTCTCAGTCATCCAGGTCATTGTTGTGCCAAAGGTGCTTTTTTTCCAAGAGGTAACTGGACTTTCTTGGTTTTTCTTTGAAGAAGCTTCTTGGATGATAAGCAAAATACCTTCAAAGAAAAACCAGAAAGTCCAGTTACCTCTTGGGGGAAAAAAAGCACCTTTAGGACATGGCATGAAGCTTATTACCTTCTAGCTATTAGTGATTGTTCCATGGAATTTTAAACTGGAAGTTATAGAAAATCATGAGAAAGGACCTTAGTTGCTTGTTTCCTCCCAGGTGATCTAAAAAACTGAAAGCTGAACATAGAGTTCTTGTTAATTTGCTCTTTATATAAATGTGGGGTCTTTTTGTTCCTTACAGAATAAAGTGGTAACAGTGGATGATGTAAAAGTGAAACTGCAGGTAGGTCTGATTGATACACTAAAGTTGCATTTCCTGTGAAGTCCTCTAACTAAGTACCCTTGGCTCTGTTTTTTTTTTCTATTTTGAAAAAGGCCTCCTATATATTCAGTTACAGTGAGACAAGCCATTTTTTCTCCATTCAAGGCTTCAGCAATTACATTTCCCCTAGGCATGTGGAAGTAAAAGCCATAGATGTGGCTGACTTCCAAAGAAATCCTGCTTTCCAACAAAGCATTCTCTGTATCGGCTCTTTGCTAATCCCATGTGGCAAAATCAGCCCTGAATCCAAATTAAAATGGAAACAGGAAATCCGTGTCATCCAAGAGCCCTTGAAATTAGTTGGTAGCTGTTCGCTCAGCACCTTGTTTGTTTGTTTGTTTTTTGGGAGGGAGGGTTGCTATCAGCTTATAGATGTACTCAAATTGTGTGAAAATTTCCCTATACAAGATTGTGTTTTTACAGAGGTAATATATATGATTTTGTTTTACCTCTTGTGCGGTCTCTTCCTCATCATTCAGTTGATGTTTATCTTTCTTTTTATCAGATAACCAACCTATTATTAATGAGATTTACTTAAGTATTTTTTAGCATTATAGGATTGCCCAATGCCAGAAGATTCTGGGGCAATGTACATCATTAAAAACAATAGAAATCAAAATAAGAACAATGCACTGTACATTTTGGAACAAAACAAATGCAGAAATTCTGAAAAAAATCTGAAAAAAGCCTGCTTCCTGAATCCCATCAGGGGATATAATTTAATAGAAACTAGACCACTGGAGTGATGTTGAGCTGGTCATGCCCACTGGCCACACACCCCAGTCCTCACTGATGTAGCCCTCAATGAATTCAAGTTTGATAGCCCTGATGTATATGAACCATTTTATATATTGGTACTGGTGGATCTGAGAATGTGAGAGTTATTTATTTGCAAATTTCTGGATCAAAAAGAAATCCTGGTGGATTCATGAGATAGTTGTATTTAAGTCTTTTACATTTGCATTATCACTTCCATATGCTGAACTGAATTCTGTAATGCTACCACACAGTTCATTTTTATTCTCTTATGTTTGGAAGAACTATCTTGATTCTAATAGACATAATTCATAGAACTATCCAAGAATATCATTTTGCACATACTGTCTGTGAATTTTAGTTGCAGTAATATTTGTTTCACATCTGGGCCTCTCTAATGAAATACAGTGAAGACTGTTTCCTTGGTTTTCTGTCTTTGCCTTATTGCAGATTTGGGACACAGCTGGTCAGGAAAGGTTCCGGAGTGTAACACATGCATACTATCGTGATGCACAAGGTTGGTCCTCTAGAATGCTGCCTTCCTTCATCTCAGATAGAATCAGAGTTGAGGTGATAAGCGGAGTAGATCTTTCATTGCTCAGATCTAACACCAAGTGATAATGCCACTGTTTGATATATAGAACTATATTGTCTGATGTATTAGCAGTGTGCAATATTTTGAGTTCGAAAAGGCCTTTTGGAGTGTTCCAAGTTTAAAACAGTGTGTCTGTATGTGTGTGTGTGTGTGTGTGTGTGTGTGTGTGTGTGAGAGAGAGAGAGAGAGAGAGAGAGAGAGAGAGAGAGAGAAAGGTTTGTTAAGAGCAAGAACAAACCTACTTTGAGTATTTCAATGGAATGCTTTAAGTGGATTATTTTGTATCAAGCTCAAGATATTTTCTGTTTTGTCTGCATCCTACTACATTTATGACATAGCTCATCTCTCCATTCATCTTTGTATCTTCTTTGAAATGCATGAGAATTGAAATCCAGGCACTACGTTGAGAATGGCTGGTATAGCTATGACTTGTGTATAGACAATATTAGATTTTAAACCCCATGGTTTTCCATCAAACAGATTATGTTGAGGAAGGATGGGGATGTGCCTGTGGATTGAGATTGTCAACAGTTTTAGATAATCGAAGTTCAGGATAAAGGGATTCATCGTTTGAATTGTTCTGTGTGACCTCATGTAATTTTAGAAAATTCCAGAATCATCAAATAACACATATTCCTCTTTTTTTTGCAGCTCTCCTCCTCCTTTATGATATCACCAACAAAGTCTCCTTTGACAGTATTCGGGTGGGTATATCATGCCTATGTTGATTCAAGATGGTCTCCCAGCCTTTGCTCACACAGGAGTCAAATAGCAAACTAAAGTTGTAATCTGATTAGTAAACATATCCCAGTTTGACTGAGATGTTCTTGTGTCTCAGTGTCTAAATGCACTGGGTTGTACAGGAATCAGCAAAGAGACAAAAAGGATCACCTGCCCTTGAAAAGCCATGTGTGATAGAGTGAGCTCCTGTTACTTGCTCCAGCTCCTGCCAACCTAGCAGTTCAAGAGCATTCAAATGTGACTAGAGAAATAGGTACCACTTTCGTGGGAAGGTAACAGTGTTCCATGTGCTTCAGCATATAGTCATGCTGGCCACATGATCACGGAAATGTCTTCAGAGAATGCTGGCACCCCTAGCTAAGAAAAGGAGATGAGCTTAGAGTCAGATACAACAGGACAAGTGAAACTTTTATCTTTTTACAGTATGATATAAACTTTACTTGGCGTAGAAATATGTGCTATATCTCTGTGCTTCACACTTCACAAAGAGAAAACATCTCTGCCCCAAAGAAATAGCAGACTACAAGTTGTCGGAAGGCAGATGAAGAAGAAAAGGGAAAATCAGGCTAAAAACAAAAAGAGAAATCATACATTTCATATTTGCAATTAGTTGTCAGGAATACGGGTGCTTCCATGTAGCTACCCCATTCCTGCTCCAAACCTTCAGGATGATGTTTGAGATGCTTTGCAATTCTAATAGCCAGCATGCACAAAATGCTAAGCAGTCAACAGCTGACTGCTAAGGAGATTACAAAAAAATGGGTGTCCAGATAGGACTCTTGTTTCTGATCCTTGTCCTACTTTAGGCCGAGTGGTATTTTGGAAAATGAGTCTAGTTACTGGGTAGGAGACCTGTGAAATGTCTGCCTCCTTGGCCAAGTAGACAGCTGAAAGGGCAGTATGGCACACTGATACGTTAAGCTCTGTGGGGGCTATGGGAAGTCTGGGAAATGGATGTAATTTTAAAGTTCCTTCCAATGGGAAACTGCCCCCTCCCAAGCCCCAGCACATCTGATGCAAAACTGGCTCAGTTGCCAAAAGGGACAGTACCCAAAACGGTGCGAGACTAAGACGTCTTCACTGGAACTTCAAGGATACCCATCCTGAGGATTATTTGAGCTACTTCTTATCAGAGCAAGAGGACCTGTACTACCTCTTCTCTGCTTCAATGCTGAGAGCTCCTGTAATTCAGTGGCTGGTTCCAAAAACTGCACTAAACTATGAATTGCTTAATTGTGCTACATTGAGCAAACCCGCGTATCTGATCAGGTTCATACCACACAGTAAGACATATGCCAAGATTTAAAAATCACAATGGCCGAGCTGATACAATTGCTGTGCGCCAAAGGCAAACAACCACCAAGGTGGCAGGACAGTATGAGTGAGCTCAGTCAAGTCTTGATGTTTGATGTTTCTTCTCAGCTATGTTTCATCTCATCACATTCAACATTCCCTTGCAGGCTTGGCTCACAGAAATCCATGAATATGCCCAAAAGGATGTGGTTATCATGCTCCTAGGTAATAAGGTATGCAACTTTGGATGGGAATACAAATTTGTGCTGTCTTGAAGACACTTTCCAACTTCTTTGGCTCTTAATGGTGTCCTTGTGTTTAATTAATCATACTGTGCTTTGCCTATTTCTCTACTGTGATCAGCTCATAACCCAAGATTGAGGAACCTGGATCTTTTTGATAATGGTGAACTAATTCGAATCAGCATAGCTAACTTGTAATTCAGCAACATTTGGAGAGCCATAAATTCCCCATCCCTTTGACAAAGGAATTTTTCATCCCATTTCTGCTTCATGGCTAGTGAATGAAGAGGCTTCCCACTCTTGGGTACATTATGAGTTTTCCTGGGACTGCTATTTGTTTCTCAGTTGCTTTGTATGTTATAGTCCTCAACTTTTCAGTACATCAGATGCAGTTTTCTAACCTTGCTGAGAATTATATTTATTTGTAAATAAACATATCTATATGCTTTCATGGCATTGTAAGTCACTTTGGATAGTGAGATGGGCGGCATGTAAATTTAATAAACAAATAAACAATAGTTCGGCAGCAGGTCTGTGCAGTCTTTCAACAAAATGATTTCGGATGCAGTTCTTGAAAGCTGCAAAGCAGTGGCTTGACCTGTTGGGAGGCTTCATAGGTGACATTTCCCTTGGAAGAATTGCTTGGAAAGCAGCTTGTGGGATGATTTGCAGAGGCTTATTTCAACCATTAATAGAAGATCATTGTGCATAATAATTCCAGAAGACATGGGATCTAAAAAGAAGTAGTAGTTTTCAACTAGTGGAGTCAAAAAGGCATGAAATATAAGACTCTTGAGGCATTTTTTTTCCTCAGACCAAATACATCTAGGATAATAATTATGCAGGGTGACATTAGATTGTATTCTGAACAAGATGGTTCCAAGAATAATGGGATAGATAGCATCACAGCAGACCTGCTAACCCTTGGACTACTGGGAACATGGATGAGCACTTCAGGGAAGCAGGGAAGATGGGCTGCTAAGCCAGCTAAGGGTCATCAAACGTCTGCAAGCACCAGCTCAGTAAACCATATCCCACCAAGGCAGGGATGTCAAACTGACGTCACCGTGGTGTCACATGACATATCGGGGCTTTTCCCCCCTTTGCTAAACCGGGCATAGGTGTGGCCAGTGCATGACACATTTAGCCCATGGGCCAGGAGTTTGACAGCCTTGCACTAAGGCATCCTTGTTTCATTCAGATGATGTGTCCTTCAACTCTCCAAGAGCCAGTTTGACCTAGTGATTAAGACACCAGGTTAGAAACCAGGAGATTGTGAATTCTAGTCCTGTTTGGCTATGAAGGGTAGCCGGGTGACTTTGACCAGTCACTCTCTCTTGGCCCAACCCACCTCACAGGGTTGTTCTGGGGGAGGGAGGAGGAGGAAGAGGAAAGTATATTGGATAAGTTTGCCACCTTATTTGCAAAAATAATAAAGGTGGGGTACAATCAAACCAACATACAAATAAAAGCACTAAAATGACTGATTTACCTTTTCTATTATTTTGAATTTTCATGAAAACCTATGAAACGGTTTTTTGACACCTGTTACTCAACTGCACTCTGCCCTTGCTCCCCTTCCAGAAAATTGAAAAGTTTATGCCCATGATTGGGAAATAGAGCTTAGATTTGGCTTATTTGAAAGGCTTAGCTGAATATATTTATACACTCATACGGGAAAAAAAACATTGGTTTTCTGAATGTAACATTTTATTTTAACTCTGCTTTGCTTTAAATCATGAAGTCTCCCAAACAAATGGCTGCTTCCCCCCCCCCCCCTTTTTTTTTTTTTCCTTTGCAAGAAGTGACAGCTCCGGTTTAGATATACGACATAACCCTTAATTACCTCATTCCATGAGACCAAGGGTCGTTTCACACAACTCCTGCATTGTGTCAGAGGGTCAATGCATATCGCCTCATTTGCTCTGAAAAGACAATATGCAACTGTTGGTGTTAAAAATATCACCCATGGTTTATATAAGACAAAAATTGAAGAAAAAAGGTTTTTAAAAACTGCTAGCAAAACTCCCCAGTCGTTAGCTGCTCAGATGCAGATCTCAGGTTTCACAGTTATAGGGCCCCCAGTTGATGTTGGCATCACAACTTTTTTTTTTTTTAATTTGCCAAACCACATCCCGAGAGATAAGGGGATGTTGTTGAGGAAGCATCCCTTATTCCTGGCATAAAGCAAAGACAAAGGGGACCCAGGGCCATTCTGGTGAAATCAACATGCCAAGCACCACTGGTGCTCTACTAGGGTGCCCAACTCTTCAGGAAAAAAAGAAAGAGGAAAAACAGCCCTAGAGCAGGTAAGGAAAGAATAAATTAGGGGAAAATGGAGTGCTGAGGCAAAGGGCAGAGAGGGGGAGGGGAAGTACCCAGGCACTTTGCTGAGGAGTCATTTTTGGATTTGGGCATTTCATAGAGTGAATACCTGTAGCTTCTGATCCATCACAAGACTCTCACTTGACCCATCACAAAACCCTCACCTGACATGATCTCCCCATCACAAGACCTACTCACCACAGAAGCCCTTATAAGTAGAAGAACACCGACATCCCTGTATTCCTCTGAAGATGTTACCTAGCCTGGGAACAAAACATTCAGAAACCAACCTACAAGCTTGGAGGATGAACCTTCACCCTCACTCCATGGAGGTCTAGTAGATCATCAAAAGACACAGAAGTTGCCAACTCTTTATTGCATGCCTTCTGATCATCTGAAATTTTGCAATCCACATCTGATGAAACCCCTCAATTCATTAAATAGTTTAGATGAAACAATGTTGCGTGGCAGATACTATAAAGTAGGATTATGCAACCCACGGACTTAAGTATGGATTTTGTGCTGTGATTGCAAAATTCCTATGCAAAAGACCAGACCAGATTCCCTAAGTTTAATGCCTCTCTTTGAATCCTGCTGCTTGGCAGGAGGAGATGGATCAGTAAGAGAAAGAACTTGAGACTTGCACAGAGAACCACAATCCCTCAGAGCTTGGAATTTGCCTCCATTCTGGCCACCATGTGCTCCCCGGAAGATTATGCCTGAGGAAATAGGTCTCTGACAGTAAAAATATTGTGTTGCCCTTCCAGTTTGGCAGAATGGTGGGCTGGAAGTGCACAAAAACCGTTTCATTGTGAAAACTGAATGGACACACTCAACCATAAAAAAAGAAAGAAGAACAGAAAATGAACAGGGGAATATTCTTGAATGGGGGCCAACCTTTCAGTAAAAATGATTTTTTGGGTGGTGGCTTGTAGGTGGATGGTAAAATAATATTAAAGGTATGCAGAAAAATCCGTTGATGCATTTTTGTAGCTTGCCCCTTTGCTGACCAAGGTGAGCCAGCAGGGGGCACTCTGAGCCTGTAACTTCACACCTCTGGAATTGCCCTGGAAGTAGGGGACAATTTAAGACATGCCCTCCCAATCCCTCCATCCTCAAAAACAGAGGCACCCCTACCTGGAAAGGCCAACAACTGTCCAGCCTTGGAATATTTATTTTATTTTATTTATTTATTTATTTGATTTGCCAATTGTTTACAAGATAATAAGTATAAGTGTATACATAGTTGTGAATACATGAAATGGGTACATATAAGAAAAATAAAAGAATAAGAGAAACAATAGGACAGGGACGGTAGGCACGTTGGGGCGCTTATGCACGCCCCCTACAGACCTCTTAGGAAAGGGGTGAGGTCAATAGTAGACAGTCTAAGGTTAAATTTTTTGGGGTTTGGGGAAGAAACTACAGAGTCGGATAGAGTATTCCAGACATTGACCACTCTATTGCTGAAGTCGTATTTCCTGCAATCAAGTTTGGTGCGGTTTACTTTGAGTTTGTATCTATTGTGTGCTCTTGTGTTGTTATGGTTGAAGCTGAAGTATTCATTGACAGGTAGGACATTGCAATGTATGATTTTATATACCATGCTTAAGTCAGACCGAAGACGGCGTAATTCAAGGTTTTCTAGTTCTAGAATTTCAAGTCTGGTGGCATAAGGTATTCTACAACGAGTAGAGGAGTGGAGAACTCTTCTTGTGAAATATTTCTGGACTTTCTCAATTGTGCTAATATCAGATACGTAATGAGGGTTCCAGACTGATGAACTGTATTCGAGTATTGGTCTAGCAAATGTTTTGTATGCTCTGGTTAGTAGTGTGATATTACCAGAGAAAAAGCTACGTAGGATTAGGTTAACAACTCTTAATGCCTTTTTGGCTATGTAGTTGCAGTGGGCTCTAGCACTTAGATCATTAGAGGTGAGTATTCCAAGGTCCTTTACAGAGCTTGGGTCATCAACAAGTTCTTGACTATTCAGCTTGTATTTTATTTTCTGATTTTTTTTGCCAATATGTAAGACAGAGCATTTATTTGTTGAGATTTGAAGTTGCCATTTGTTTGACCACTCTGATACATAGTCAAGATCTTTTTGTAGGGTAGCAGTATTGTCTGTGGTATTGAACAGCTTTACATCATCAGCGAAGAGAACGCAATTGCTCTTAATATGATCACAGAGGTCGTTTATGTAGAGTATGAAGAGAGTTGGTCCTAGACCACTGCCTTGGGGGACACCACTATTGACAGGTACTGGATTTGATAGGACGCTTCCGATTTTGACCATTTGTTGTCTGTTTGACAGGAATGCTTCTATCCAGTTATTCAGTTGTCCAGAGATACCATAGGATTTTATTTTTAGGAGTAGTTTGTCGTGTACCACTGAATCAAAGGCTTTACAGAAGTCTATGTAGATTGCGTCTATTGCTTTGCCCTGGTCGAGTTGTGTCGTCCATATGTTTTTGCAGTGTAAGAGTTGTAGATTACAGGATAGTTTTTTTCTGAAACCAAATTGTTTCTTGGAGAGTAGGTTATTTGTCTCTAAGTGGAGGATGATGGATTGGTTAATAATTGATTCCATGACTTTACAGGTGACGCAGCATAAGGAAATTGGCCTGTAATTTTCAACTAGGCTTGGGTCTCCCTTTTTGAAGATGGGGATGACTGTGGCTTGTGACCATAGGTTAGGCAAGGAGCTGGTCCTGAAAGATTTTTCAAAGATTATGCTTAGAGGTTTGGCTATGGCAGTGGATAGCTTTCTTAAGAAGTAGGCACATATTCCATCCGGTCCAATAGATAGAGATGGTTTTAGATTGCGTAGTGATTTTTCAACATTGTCTTCTGTGAAATCGATATGTATTAGATCATTATTGTTATCTGTGGTACGGCTAGGAAATACTGGGCATGATCCATTGCTGTTTACAAATACTGAGCCGAAGAATGTGTTAAAGATGTTGGCTTTAATGGTGTCGTCGTTGCAGTCTTTACCATCAGGTCCTATCAAGGGAGGGATGGACCTTGAGTCTTTTAGTTTGTTGTTTACAAAATTGTAAAAAGCACGGGTGGAATTGGTGCTTAGAAGGTTTTCCTCTTGTTTAATGTGATAATTGGTGCATTCGGTCTTTATCTGGTGGCATAAATTTTTGTATCGGTTTTTGAAATTGGCAACGTGACCAGATTTGTTTTTCCTCCAGAGTGATCTCTTTTTGGATTGAAGTTTCCTTATTGATATGGGTAATCTGCTTTTTTGTTTTGTTTTGGGAGTTGTTGTTGGTACATATAGTTTAATGACTCTTTTGACTTCAAGTAAAAATATGTTGTAATGGTCTTCGACAGTATTGCATCCAGTGAATAGAGATTGCCAATCCAGGGATGAGAGATCGTTGTCTATAAGATCATAGTTGCCTTTTTTGAAGTTACAATTGGGGATTACATCATTGTGGTGATTTTTGTGTGGACGTATGTTGAGACAAAAGTCAATCATATTGTGGTCACTACTGGAAAAGGGTTCTTTAGTTTGTATTCCGTAAATTAAATTCAAACTATTGCAGAAGATGAGATCGAGGCAGTTGTTTAGTCTAGTGTTGTTGGTTGCTAGTTGTTCCAGTCCCAGATTTGTAATAGCATTGTAGAAGGTTGTGTGTATGATTTCAGTTGTACAATCATTTAGGGTCCAGTCAATATGAGGTAGATTGAAATCACCAAGAAAGATAAAAGGGTATGGGCAGGATGCAGCCCATGTTAGTAATGTATTTAGCTTGTTTACATGTTCGATGTCATAATCAGGTGCTCTGTAACATAGTAAGAATTGAATTGTGATATTTAAGGATAGTTCACAGATGATGGTCTCAGGAAGAGCAAGCTCCTGGGTAACTTGGATATTTTTTAGATGTAAGGATTTTTTATAGAATATAGCAACACCACCTCCTCGACGATTTTCACGATCTGATCGGTAAACATGATAGTCTCTTACTGTGGTAATGGAGTCGGGGAGAGATGCATTGAGCCATGTTTCACAGACAAATATAATGTCGAAGTTAGCCATATTTAGGAGGATGAGAAATTCAGGTATTTTATTCACGAGGCTTCTTGCATTGAGTAGTTTGCATTTAAGGCCGGCAGTAGTTGGAATTGAGGTAGTTGGGGGCGTGCGTGCCTAGTCTTGGGTGATGGTGGATCGGTTGAGGTAGGGTTGTGGTTGAGGGTAGAAGCTGAGTATTGGGTTGCGTGGCTTACTTTTGATACAGTCAGCATGGTAGTCAATGTACAGGTCCTTCTCTCCATTGTCTAGACGGTTTTTGAGTTCAATGCGGAGTGCACGGGAGCGGGCACGTTGCTGTATGGTTAGGTCAGGGCGGCAACGGAGGTTCTTATGGTTGGTGTTGGTTTTGGCGAGTGAGTTTATAGTATAAATGAATTATAGTATTATAGTATATAATATATATTATAGTATATAATATATATTATATATTATATTATATTATACTATATTATATTATAGAATTATAGTATATAATATATATAATTATAGTATAAATGAATATCAGAATGCGTTCATGTCAAGCATCGGAAGATAAGCTCAATTTGGAAATAACTTACTTTTTTGCCCTATTGGCACAAGCACAACTCCGTAATGGTGTCTCCTGTTGCCAAAGGAAGATCTGGGAGAAAAATATGTCAGGACTGAACCGGGGACTCCTTTATGCTCCCCAATGTGGACGTCCCTCATCCCAGCCTTTCCTCTTGGCAGAAAGCTTTGTAATTCTCTCCTGCTCCTCTCTGGCATACAAAAGTCTATCCTGCTTCAGTGCTGCACAGGAAGGCCTATTTTTCTGAATGGCTTAAAACCAAACTATTTATTTATTTAATTAGAAATTTATGTATTGAATTGATAGCCTATCTTTCTTTCTCTTTGAGAATCGAGGCAATTTACAAAGTAAAATTGAATAGCAAATGGAACTGAACAGAAAACACAGACCAAACAAATGGCATAACCAACACATAATGCTCAAACTTTTAAAAATAATAAAATAAAGCAAAGCATTAAAATCCTAGCGGAAGGTTGTCTTTCACTCTTCCTGAACTCCATTTGGAGTCAACACTGTATCAGTGATAGAATCGACTGTGCAGTAGATAAATTTGTTTTTGCTCCTTTGGTGATTTACCTCAGTTGTCAATTATTTATGCATACTTTATTGTTACAGATTGTTGTATGATGTCTTTAAGTGCTGTTAGCTGCCCAGAGCCATGAATTTAAGATGAGTGGCAATATAAACTGAAAGATGATAGAGATATAGGGAGAGAGATGATATAGAATATAGATGATGGATGGATGCAGTCAGACAGACAGACAGACAAACCTGAGAGCAAACTTCTGCTGGGAGCCTAATTCTGTTGCTTTTCTTCCGAATGCATTTCTTTTTCAAATGGGAATTTTAGAACAAAATCAGTTAGAAGAAGTAGAGTGAGACTAAGATGGGCATTTTAGGGGAAAACCTATCTATCTTCTGTCTAGGATATTTTAAAATGTTTATTTTGTCTCTCTTTTTACCCTCCCCCCTCCCGATAGAAATGCACTACTGAGGTATCTCCTGCTTATATGTGATTCAGCATTCTTCCTTGCTCTTCCCCACCCTTTCCTGTCTTTCTATCTGCAGGCTGACATGAGCAGTGAGCGAGTTATCAGAACAGAGGACGGGGAATCCTTAGCCAGGGTAAGTGAACAAGTCCAAGTGTGACTGTCTTGCAGCATAGCTGAGGTAGGCGATCCAAACTCTCTGCCCAATTTCAGAAAAAGCCAACTGTATCAGTAAGCATCTCCTCCTGTTGATGCAGAGCAGGCAGTATCTTGGTCATCGGCTTAACTGAACCAAATAGCAAGATTTTCCACCTCCTCTTTGGCATTAGTATTTTTAAAGTTCCAGGGCTTTTGTTAAGGTTCCAGCACAGGAACCTTATCAAAAAGGATTCATCATGTTTGCTGGCAAGATGTTGCCACTTTTTCTGCTCTGTTTTCATTCCAGGAATATGGAGTGCCTTTCATGGAGACTAGTGCCAAGACCGGTATGAATGTGGAACTGGCATTTCTGGCCATCGCAAAGTGAGTAACAGGCTGCGGATAGTTTGCCTTCAAAAATATAACAGCATTTGGAGAAGACGTTGAGCCTCCTTGATTTCATTTTACCAAGCCCTTCCAGGACTCAAGGCTGGTGCCTTAAGAGGTTTTGGATAGTAAGATCCAGACCACTTGGGTCATCCTGGTGGGACTGGTAGGAATGAGCTCCGAAACCTCAGGAGAATTTGGGAAAGAGGGATTCAGGAAACCCAAGATAATTGGTCATTGGGTTGCTATGAACTTTCTTAAGAAAAGGCTATCAGAGGTGAGACCAAATAAAACTCAACGTTCAAAAATGTAAGGAATTCTCTCTAGTATTCATAATCAGAGAATTATTCAATTCCTTGGCAGAAATGTTAAATGGGGCAACCAAAATTACATACCTTTGTGAGGTTTTCAATGAGAGTTCATCCATCTCCCTCTCCTAACACTTTTTCTCTTGGATGTTTCACAAACACCTCACCATTTTTTTCCTCCCCTTTTGCTGCCTACTTAAGACAGAACAATTCGTTCTGTTCTTTCTGGAACGCTTCGTAATCTTTGTGTTGAAATGAAACATCCAAGAAATGGTGTACTGTAGCTGGTTTTCAAGGTCACAGCAGATTTGGAAAGAGTTGTGAGTAGCATCTCTTTTTGGGCAGAGGTGGGGGTAGACATTAATATGCTTATTCCGAGTCTTGCATTTTAAGAAAGATTAAATATTCTCCTAGAAGTCCAGGAAAACATTTCTCTTTTGAAAAGTTTCAAAAGTTTCCCTCTTTTGAAATAATGTCTGAGCAGCGCGTTGACCCTTTGCTTTCCAGAGAGCTCAAGCAACGAGCTGTGAAGCAGCTGGACGAGCCCAGGTTCCAAATCCACGACTACATTGAGTCAGAGAAGAGGCGGTCCAACTGCTGTACTTTTCTCTGAAGGAAGAAGATACTAAGGCAGTCTGAATGACCGAACACTAAAGAGACCAAGGAGCAGAGTGCCACCCAGAAGATGCAGGGAAGGAAGGAAAGAAATTTGGGGGGATCTACTCCAAAGACATTACTTTTTAGAGAATCCTTTTAGAGACTGTACATAAGAAGTATATGTCTGCTGTTGATTGCCATGTGTGGATGTGAAGGAAGAGTTAAGAATGCATGTGTGAAAGTATGCAAAGGCAATCAGGTTCTATAGTATTACTCAGGCCTATCATTCACTGGTAAGAGGAAAAGTATGGCCCACACCAAAGCAAATCAAGCTTTTTCTTAACTCTCACAGCCCTGCACTTTGCCTTGAAAAAAGAGGGAGGGTTGACTGGGAGCTACAGAGGCGGTCTCTCCCTTTCAAAGGCCATGGGAGGTATTGCCCTAAAAAGCCATGGTTTGTATGAATACTGAAACCAGCAGGAATATTCAGTCAAGTAAAAGTAGACCGATTTCCTTTGACCTCTGGCCTTTCCTGCTTCCCACACCCAAAGATCCTGCCAGGATCTTGCTTTGCTTCTCCTCCCTTCCTCCCTCTGCCCAAGGAAGGGACTCTGGGGATCTGCGTGTGTCTTTTGTCCTGGCTGGAACATCAAGAAAATGCTGCTGACTGGAGTTAGGTGGGGGAGAAAGAGAGAGACCACTATACTTTTATGACCATAAACAAAGGGAAGTGTTAGAAAGTGGACTGTTTGTTTTGATGGTGCGATGAAAGACCCATCTGGGTGGGGGGAAAAGAAAAGTCAGCATGCTGGTGTAACAGGCCAGAAAGCCTTAGCCTCTGCCCTTCAGATGAACAAGCCTGCTTCTGAGTCTTATTTCCTCAGAAAATAACCAGTGGTAGATCCATACTAAGAAGTGGTTGCTTCTTTGAGTTTTTGGTCCCTTCTTACAAGCACATCTTGGGATTCTCCAGAAGAAGTGAGCCTTTTTATAATTCTCATCAAGTATTTGATCCCAAAAATTCTGGAAGGGGGAAACTTATGTTTGAACTAAGCTCATTTCTGTCACATAACCCTGTTTTATAAGCACGTGTCATTTAGAATAGGCTGGGTATTTCGCCATCATTCCAGTACACCCAACCACGTACATTCACACCAACAGGTACAGCCCAGAGAAAACTGCATGCATTGGCAGCCTATAAATATACATATATATATGAAGCATGTTTCCCTCCAGATGAGGAGACTGTAACATTGGGTTGCACTAGGATTTCTCCATAGTGAGTTGGTTCTGGATGGCATTCAGTGATCCTTCTGTCCTTGACAACACCCTGCTTGCATCTCTTTCCATTGGGTTGGCAGGTTACTGCAAGCTGTTCCCAACAGCTGTTCAGCTTAGACAAGCTCAACCAGATCCGTTTGCAGACTTCTTTCCAGGAGGGAGGAAGATGGGGAGCCCTTCTTCCAGACAGTGAGGGGTAACATATAAACTGGTCGGCTGCATTTGGATGCGAGGGAGACAGCGGGGAGAGGAAATGATTGGTTGGGTGAGCCTAGGGCCCTGGAACAGTCTGTGATGGGTCAGGGATGCTTTGGTATTATTAGGCTGAGACAGCACAGAGAAATATCCAAGACCAAATGGTTTTGTCTGCCTGTCTTCAGGTACACACCACACCGTGCAATGCATTTTTGACTTGAATTTCCCTTACAAATTTAACTTGTCACCTAGCTCACGGCTGTCTCTCTTCTTCCCTGCTTCTGGAAGTAAGCAACCAGTGGATTGTGTCTAGATCAGAGTTCCCTCACCTTTTCGACTTTGCAGGCTAGCGGGGGGACAGGGGGAGGAGAGGAGATGGTTCCATGTGAGCAGTGGGCAAGCACTCATGTGCGCACACAAACACAGCTCCATTTGCACAAGTGGTGGGCATGGACAACTGCCCATGGGGATGCGTGCATGCACAGGTGTGCTCACCCACCCCTTTTACGATCTGGTTCCAAACGGCTCAAGGCCTGGAGGTGGGCTGCGGCCCAGGGGTTGGGGAGCTCCTGGTCTAGGTTGATCTGAGCTTTGCTGATCTAGCATAGCACGGTGGCCTTTTGTTTCTTTTTAAAGCTCCTTTTAATTTTTTTTTCTTTTTCCTTTCTAAAGTTCCAAAATGTGACGTTAACTCTTACTCAGGGGTCTTCAAACTTGACAGCTTTAAGACTTGTGGACTTCAACTCCACTCAGGAATTCTGGGAGCTGAAGTGCCACAAGTCTTAAACTTGCCTAGTTTGAAGACCCTTGCTCTTACTGATCGTCCCCAACAAAGTGTATCCCTCCCTCCCATTTCCTGGTTTCTTTAATCCGCGTGGGTTAGGCAAGAGCTAACTGTAGCCGGCCATGCTCCTTAGACATTATGCGAGGCAGGTGGCAAGAAATGGAAGCCTTATCGCTGAAAGAGCGCTCTTCCTAGCAAAGCCCACATATTTGTTGCCCTGGCAGCATGCACAGTTTCCCAGAAAAACAACAGCAAGTGTGCCAGGATTTAAGAGAGGGAGGCGGATTCTAGCCAAACGGAGCATAGTTCCATATTGCCTGCACCTTTCCTGACAAATGCATGATCTTTGCAGATCTTTGTACAAGTTTAAGTACCTCGAGATCAACGAAAGGAATAATGTTATGGGGAAAAGAATATCATCTTCATCATCATCATTGTCCTTTCCTGGATCTGCTCATCCTTTTTTCTCTGATCAGAAATTCAGCTCTCTTTTTTAATGTCTGCACATGTTTTCCCATGTTAAAATTGTTAACAGACCTGTGCAATTGTGACCCAATACATGTAGGCTGTATAGCAACAGAAGACAATCCTTTGGGTCCACCGCACGTTAGAAAATTTTGGTTCATGTTTCTTTAAGAATGGGCTGCCCTGCGCAGATCCCCTGTTCACAAAATTACTGAGGTGATCTACACCTTTGCAGGCCTGAAGGTATTGTAGCAAATAAATGCTATGTTTGAAGCTGGGACATTGCTTTGCAACATGTCAATTTTATTTCTTTTTTCTTTAAAAAAAAAAAAAGCATCTGCCAAGTGTACTCCAACTTGATCTACCCCCTGCAAAGAATCTCAGGTAACATTGTTGGGTTAAGGCTGCTGCCTAAAACCTTGGGAGAAACTTATAGAATAGTAAGGGATGGTATAGACCAGCACTTTCATTTCTGCAGTGTATGTTTTCTGAAAATTGGAGAATATATTTTGAAATAAGCCTTATCCACTGCTTTGGCCTTAATTTGAGAATAATAAGAGGAATATTAGATAGAAATATGATTACATGGTTAAGAACTACCTGCAACTACCTTGTAACTAGATATAATGTTAATCATTATCTGAAAGGGTGATAAATGGGTGTCATTTGGGTGACAAATAAAGATTGTGTAGCCATACATTGGAACAAGAGAGAAAATGTACGCACCCTCCTTTGCTTTTGTTGTTAAGTTTCCTTTCTGCATTTTTTTTTTTTTTTTTTGGTATAACAAATCTTTTTGTCTGATTCACCAGGCATTAGAGGGATCAATTTTCCAAAGAATTAAAAGGGGACATGAGGAATGTGGAATAGAGTATTTGATTGTACAACAGGTTGTTGGTTAAAAAAAAAAGGTTGATCTGCATTTTGATGTGTTTGATTTTGTTGTGAACTACTCTGGGGAAACCTGTTTTTGAATGGCAGCGTACAAAAATAAATTATAGATGATTGTATATAGCTTTATACCCCTAATATCCCCTATAAAAATAAAGAAAATTGCTTCCTACTTTAAAAAGAACTTACAGTCATTTTGTTTGCTGGAAAGAAAGCCCTTGATACATTTCTGCATATATTTTTTTTGCAAAAACTCTGTGTCAAGATGTCTTTTGATGAAATACTTTTTAGGTTTGGGATAAATTCTACTAGCCTGCAGGACTCGAGAAACTCCCTCCCTCTCATGGTTGTAGAGCACTACAAGTAGTCTTCAACTTACAGACATTCATTTAGTGACCATTAGAAGTTACTACAGCACTGAAAAAAATGACATATGACCAGTCCTTAACAACTCTAGTTGAGTTGTGGTGGCGCAGTGGTTAGAGTGCAGTACTGCAGGCTACTTCTGCTGACTGCCGGCAATTTGGCAGTTCAAATCTCACCAGGCTCAAGGTTGACTCAGCCTTCCATTCTTCTGAAATGGGTAAAATGAGGACCCAGATTGTTGGGGGCAATATGCTGACTCGGTGGGATTCAAAAATTTTTTACTACCAGTTCTGTGGCCGTGGCTTGGTGGGCGTGGCAGGGGAAGGATACTGTAAAATCTCCAGTCAGAAGTGGTATTTGCTGGTTCTCCAAACTACTCAACATTTCCGCTACCGGTTCTCCAGAACTGGTTAGAACCTGCTGAATACCACCTCTGGTGCTGACTGACTCTGCTTAAAGAGGGCTGTAAAGCGGTAAGTCTAAGTACTATTTGCTATCCCCATGGTTATGTGAGCAGAATTCAGGTGCTTGGCAATGGCCTGTTCTTACAACAGTTGCAGCATCCTAAGGTCATGTGATCAGCATTTGCGACCTTCCCAGCCAGCTTCTAAAAGGTAAAGTCCATGAAGAAGTCTGATTCGATTAACAACTGTGTGATTCACCTAACAACTGCAGGGATTCATTTAACTGTGGCAAAACAAAAGTTGTAAAATTGGATGTGACTCACTTAACAACTTCCTTGCTTAGCAGCAGAAATTTGAATCCCAAGTATAGACTACCTAATACAAGACCAATGAAGACAGTGTCTTCAAAGAAACACACAAAACATTGTTTTTCAAGAGTTTTATCTTAAAGGTCTACAATATTGTGGGCAACTAGCAAATAGAAAACACAGAAAACTCTTAAATATTTTTCTTTCTTTCTAGAGGCAATTCAGATTTTGGTAGCCCAGATCTCTGGTAACTCTTCAAGCATGTTTTGCCAAACAGAAATATCAAAATACTGCATTAACCTATATATTCAACCCTTACTACCCTGCTGTTGATTAGTTTATTGATTCCAATGATATCATCATCACCCATAAACAGTTTAAAAAATTGAATAAAATGTGCTTCATTTGTTGTGTGGATAGTTGAATACTGTTGAAATTACCTATTCAGGTCAACTGAGCAGCTGTCCTCTTACTATGACCTTCCTTAGCAATCAGGGATCTGATAAGAAGAATGGAGACATATGGTAAGGAACGGCAAATTAGATTGGACTCTAGTTATATGATAAATTGCAGTAAGAATCTGAAGCAATGACCTGACTCTGCATAAGTTTACCAGGAACTCACTTGGTGGATCTATGTTAAGTGCAGACAAAGATCCTCAAAGATTAAGTCTTCTTCTAGTCAAACTTGATTCATCAACATGCCCAGTAGTTTTCTTGACAACAATACATGTGTGGTTTGTGAGCATTTTCATGTAGGATACTGTTTTGTCACTTCCTAAGCTATTCCTGGATATACATCCAAGTGCTAGTCTGATTTGATCCTGGTTTTTCTGAGAACAGCCTATCTCACTTGTAATGAAACACATACAAAAACCATGTTTGTTGTTCAGAAATGCATCCCTTTCTGAACAACAAAAAACATGGTTTTTGATTTATAACAAAGGATTTTTTTTAAGGCAAAAAGATCTTCCCTATTTCACCTCAGTCAATCTGATTTATATTCTCTGACCCAGGAGTTTAAAATCATGTACCCTAATCCTAAACATACTTATTCTGAAATATGTTACATTGGCTATAGGTATGTATTAGATTAAAAATTAGGGTTTTGCTGGCTTAGGAAATTCTTTAATTTAGGCTGCAGTGTTCTCTACTTTAAGACTTAAAATTCAGTGATAGGTTCATGCAACATGTTAGGCCAAAATGAATCAAATCCTTTTATAGATTAGTGGAATGGGTAAATCCAGCCACTGAGCTCAACTGCCTAGTCATTACTGATGGCCTTCTACCCCAAAGCGTGGATTTTTCATTAGTCCATTTATCAGATGATTTGGTGCATGACGATTACCAGATCTATCCCAACAAAACTGCCCGTAGAGTTGCAATGCGCAGTTCCGATTTTAACTGCAATGTTTTAGCAAATCTCTGTCATTCTCATTCAACTTATTTATTCCCAGATTCACTTCTGCTTTCTCTGCTGTGGACAACAACTTTCCCATCATTACCTTGCATGGGAGCTCTTAGAATTTTTTTTTTTTTTTACTGCCCGAGCTAATCTGGTTAGGATTTCACATCTGCATTCGCTTTGGAATGAGGGGTAGGAATGACTACACTGCTATGCACACAGAATAAATCACACTTGAGTACAGTGGGGCTGGCTTCCAACAACCCAGGTATGCAGCTGAACTTTGTGTTCCCTAGGAAGAAGGGGAAGAAGATTCACTTTATTAGTCATCTTTCTTCTACCAACTGATTGCACTAGTTGCTCCAGCTCTGGTGTATTGCATGCCTTCTTCCAATTTTGCCCCTGCAACCGCCCCGAGGGACAAGATGAGTGGAGAGAGAAGTCACCCCGGGAGCTTCTGCAACCGTTGACTTTGCTCTCTCCAGTCCCAGCTCAACAACTTTTATCAACTACATCACACTGTCTTTGGGTCATCCATCTCAGTAAATATGCACAGAATTTCAGTCATGAGGGAGTGGTTTCTCTTGACTGGAATTTGCCCTGCCAGTGGTGAGTGGGTGTGGGAGAATCTGGGTGCACAATGCCTCTTCCAAGTAATAAGCACCCAGAGTTTCACCGACTTGTTTCATGGTCCAAAGGTGAAGGGGAAAAGTAAACATAATCTGTTAAATTAAAACCTTTCTCCTCCTTCTCCTCTTTCTCCCACTATTCTTTTACTGCAGACTTTTAACATTCTCCAAATGCTTTTAGCATCCCACTGGTGGCCTTGTGGCTGTTGCTGGACTGCAGCTTAGGCTGCCCAAACAATATTATTGCCTGGGCTTCCAAGAAAAGGCTCTTTTAAGCTTGTGAATGTAATTCTTGCAGCTCAGTTTATCGTTAGCATCATCATCATCATCATTCAGAGATCACTGCCGATGAAAACAGACCCAGAGTTTGCCGAGCTGTAATCAGTCTCGTTCTTTGCTTTAATTTCAATGCTTTCCACACTGAAGCTTCTATCTAGGCCAAAATATTTATCTTTTTTTTTTTTAACCTTGTCTATCGCTTGCTAGTATGTTTTTAAGGCCATTAAAGTTCTTCTTAGGAATGGTTCAGGCAGGGAGACTGAAGTTTTGAGAGCCAGTTTGGAGCAATGATTAAGGGAATCAAGGGCAGAAATCAAGCCACAGTGAGTTCTAGTCCCACCTCAGGCATGAAAGTCAATTGAAGCAGTCAATCTCTCGGCCCAACCCACCTTATACAGGGTTGTTGTGGGGAAAAGAGGAGGAGGAAGGAATATTAGGTATGCTTGCCACCTTGAGTTACTTTATATAGTAATACAGGAGGGATAAAAACATCTACAGAATACAGCAAAAGCAGAACTGGAAGAGAACTTGGAGGTCTTTTAGTCCTTTAAAAAAAAATAATAATAAGAAGGGCTCACCAAGCCCACAATAAGGAGAATATTCACTGTACACACTGTACACTCCATGATAAATAAAAAAAAAACAAGTCCCCAATTATCCAGTGTGGACATAATTCCTTGCCCCTTCCCTCCAGCCTGTCTCCTTGGAAACCCACAAGAAATCTACCCCATTCAACCATGCTGCCCTGCCCTGTCTGTTTTCTGCCAGCTTCCCCACCAAGGAGGAGGAGGAGATTGGGGCCTATGGTGCTATTGTGATTTCAAGGGTCCCTGAATGGTCCATGAAACCTGGCACCAATGCACCCTGCGGCTAGCAAAAGCCTTTCCGTCGAGGGGACACATTTTGAGCTACAGACCTCCCTGCTGGCCTGTTCGGATTTGTTCCCCAGCTTCAGCTTTTGTCAAATCTGGCCTGAGGGGGAGCACAAGGGGGAACAGCAGAACCACTCTTTTCTCCACACACACACACACACAC